AGTGCCCATTTAGCTGGTTATCATTATTTGTTATCTGAACTATTCTTAGCCAAAGGGTCATCTGCCACTAAGGCCAGCACGAGTCCAGCTCATCTGCATGGGCATTCATCCAGCTTCCCAGCTTAACACACTCCCTAACGAATTACAACTGACCTTTTTAGCAGCAGCATCTGCTGGGCACTCGCCACTGTAACCTTCTTTTCATCTCTGAACTCTTTCTCTCCCTCTGTTTCGTCAGCTTTTTTCTTTTTTTCTATCCCCAGCCTCACTTTTCCAGCTCTACGGAGCTTGCCTCCGTTGATGTGCTAACACTTTGTCGTAGTCAAAGACGGTCGGTAAGCAGGAAAGCTGGCTTTCTGCTAATTTGATCATTGGTGTGAAATGTGCTGGTTTGTTTCTTCTGACTTCTCTGGTGAAGGAGAAACAAGGGACAGAGTGGCAACATAACTTCCGTAATGAGCTCACGGAGCTGTGCTGAGAGAGCTTGCCTGTAATGTTGTTAACAACAGCTGCTCTGATCAGATATTGATGATTGAATTGTGTAAAGGACCCCCTGTTGGTTTACAAGTGCGATGCCTCCCCTTATCCAATTACACGGGGTAAAAATTAATATTTTGCTCATTTAGAAGAGAGTCAACCTCTTGCAATTATAGCAATGTATCTGACAGTAAAATCCATTAGCTTAATGAATTGAACACCAAGGAGAGGCACATGTTAATTTGGTGAGAAGCTGTTGCTCTTTGGAGCGCTGTGCTTAATACTCAGCAGGACGTTTCCTGCTTTCTCTCTTGTGCCTTTGTGTGATAGACACACTCAGGAACAAGTTCTCTTCTCAGGTAAAAAATAATTTTTTTTTTCTACTTTTGCCCATCCACCACTTCTCATTAAGTTAATCTTTACAGGAATGAAACATGAGCTGACCACTAGGTTCAGACCTAACAACAAGGGGCTTTATTTCTCAGGACCTCTTCAGCTTACTTGGCACCACGTTAGCACAGGGGTGGCTGTAACTCAGGAGGTAGAACAGGTCACCTACTGATCGGAAGGTTGGCGGTTCGATCCCTGGCTCCTCCAGTCTGCATGTCAAGTATCCTTGGCCAAGATACTAACCCCAAGTTGCTCTCCGATGCATCCATCGGAGTGTGAATGTAGTTGGTAGAGCTTGAACTCTCTACTAATGGCCGACCATTAGCTATATAACACATAGTTGTATATGTACACAGGGCTTAACAAGCTTTTGACTGGAACTATTAGCATAGGTGTACTCTTTGGGCTATAACTGAGAATATCAAGTATGAAACACAGAGTTGGTGACCTTTGAAGGGTTGGAAGTAGACTTATGGTTTAGTTTAATGCTATCCCTCCCATCTATTTTCTGACAGACCCAAACCAAACCCAATCTTATAACAGAAGATCTGTTAGGTCGAAATTCAGTTCAGTTAAATCCAATTATATAGCGCCCAATCACAACAATAGTCACCTCAAGGTGCCTATAAACCCCAGAGAAAACCCCAACAATCAGATGACCCCCTATGAGCAAGCACCTGGCGACAGTGGGAAGGAAAAACTAACTAAAAAGGCTCAGGGAGGGGCAACCATTTGACCGATTGAGGGTAAGGATACATGTAAGAGACTGGACTTGAAAAGCAATGTTTTGTATTTTTTCAGAATCCTTCTTACGCATAAGTAGAATCATACATAAAATGCTACCTAAACCTAACCCCTAAGTGATTCACTAGCCACTTTGTGGACATTATGAGGTTTTGAGGGAACAATTTGGCAAATTAGCCAAATTCTAGTTATGTAAATTGTCTGGGTACACCTCTGACTCAATGAGAAACAGATTTAAAGTACATGAATCTAATGTTTGTCTAATGGCAAACAGAAGATGCACAAGGTTGGTTTCAGAGTTTCAGAGAACAGGACAAAAGAGGAAAAAAGCCTAACGAAGGTGTTACAAGGGGTCTCGCTTCTTAGTGAAATAGGTCAATACAGCATTAGCCAAAATCAAAACCACTAACAACAAATAACTTTTTAAGAGGCCTTGTTTTACTGTTATTTATTAGGCGGTGTTGAGATTTTTACAGTAAACTCCCACCATTGCTGACCTTAAATGCAGACAAAATATAGGGTCAGAGCTCACATCCTAACAATAAATCCAGCTGAATGATTTTTCGTGTCTCGCGGGATTATGCATTGTGGAGAGAGATAACAGAAAAATATTTACTTATTTCTCTGTTTACTCCACATTGTAGGGTTTTGGCCATTTAGTCCAAACTAAGATGAATATGCAGACTTTACAATGGCAGAAATAGAACTGAGACCTCCTTCTAACTATGGAAAATGAAGTCAGAGATAAGAGTTGCTTTCATTCCCAGGCTGCTGCAGAAGTTACCCCTGATGCCTCTGCTTCTTAACAGAATTTAGGCAGATTAATTATTCATTTTGCACATCTGTGCACCCTTGCTAAAATAGTGAGTGGCTCCAACTGGCACAGGCTGATAGAGCTCTCAAAGATGCTTATTTATGTTGTTTGTCCTCTAGAATCTGAACTAGAAGTGACGGTGCTCTCGACTGATTACAAGACTTTGGAAGAGAGTGGCAGTGCTGACTTATTTATGTTTCTCTTCTTCTCTTGCTGTTTATCTGCAGACACATACACTCCTGACATGTTTTGCCCCTGTTTTCTCAGTCTGACCATAATGTCTTTGCTGCCAGAGGGTAGGGTAGTGTAGGGCCTACCTTACAATATAAAGCACCTTAAGGCGACTGTTGTTGTGACTGTTTGGTGCTGTATAGATAAAACTGAATTAAACTGAATTGAATGATAGTGCAAATATTTCATACTTGAATAACATGCAAGTTTATTCTTCTGTTCTGTTGCTGGTGCTTCATATTCCAAGAATCAAACATTTTCTCTGATGCTGAAACTACTGTAGGCTGAATTTCTTTTCCACACACAAAATTTATCATGAATCATTAGGGCAATAAACAAAGATTCAGGTCTAGAAACAGAATTAGTGTAAAATCATTTTGTCAATAAATTTCCATCCTCCTACCTTGCCTAAAGACGACCACCAAATTTCTGTGTGTCTCTTTCTTTTGCTGTATCAGTCAATATAATTTTTTATGTTCTAAGTAGATATTCTCTGGCCAGTGGATGTAAATTTAGCCACTTGGTTTGTTGGCATGATGAACTATCAATTAGTAATAACAAGGAAAAAGATTTTTTTTCATCTTTCTGCCAATGAAAATGTAAAATCCGACCCCAAATAAGCCATGCAAATTATACATTACCACAAGCTAAGTGGTACTCTCTGTGAATATTAAAGAGTACACTTATGGGAAGCTTGTAAAACCACACAGACTGGATGTAAAAGGCAGAGGAAACCTCTAGGTCTAAAACATTATGGCCAACAGGGGTGAATCATCTGAAAACTCTGAATTTAATGACGACTTTGAGACAGTGATCTTACTTCTGATTTGTGAGCTCAGTCTCTTTTTGCGTACTCTGTTGCTGCTTAAGAGCATTTTTCTGTTCACTGTGACACTAATTTTTTTTTATAGAATGTTATCTCCTTAACAAAAAACAAATGTTAAAGTAGGGTATAATTTAAGGTTTGTCTGCCTTGAGATTGACAAGTCTCTAATGAGCCCTTTGCCTTGGCATTCTCCAGCTCTCTGTCAGAATATTTGTGTTTCCTGCTTGTGCTTGACAAACCAGAGGACACCTGGTGCAGTTTTTAAGACCAAACTCATCCTCACCATGGCCCTACTAAGTGATTTGAGGAGGATTAAAACTTTGATGATCATATGCTGTGCAATGATTCCTTGAGTAGAGATTTTGAATCTAAAACCAATACCAAGATGCATCTTCTTGTTATTAATGCATCTTAGTATTGCTTGACAATCTTGAGCTGAATGTGTGTAAGACCAACAAAGAGATAACAGTGGACATTACCAGAAAACTAGCAAAGAACCTTCATCCTCTCAGCATGAATGGGATCCAGCCGGAGAGGGAAGACCAGTTATTACCTCAGGTGACTGAAGGACTTATGATTTTGCACTACAGAGAATCCTGTACTGCAAAATCCCCACCCGGATGGGAAACTGCATCCAATGCATCCAATTTTTAAGACTTCTTAAAACTTGTTACAATTTTCCTACTTTTGCTAATAGCACAGAGCTATTAGCTATCAAATTTGTAAATTGAAACAAGTTTGAGATACGTTCCTCCTAAGTTCCCTCTGTCCCGTGGCTCCAAATGAAGCTGCGCCTTTGTAAATGAGGATGAGTTAAGCCTGACTGCTTCCAAATATGAAATGCGAGCTTCTGTTGTAAACTAGGCTGAATTAGTAATAGAAAGCAGAGAGGGCTCAGCTATGAAAATAAAAGGTTTTTGCAGCCATGTCACCTAGAATACATTTTTTCTCCAACAACACACAGCCTGGAGTTCAATTTTATACTTTAATGAATTCCCAGGAACAGCTCGTCTTTGATCTCTTGTTATTTATTCATTAACAAATAACATTTTAGCTTTATGTCTTAAGTGGGATATTTTGTATAGTTTTTCTGACTCATTGCTTGCAAAAGCTGCTCAGCATCTGTCACTAAGTTAATAAAATATTGATTAACTGTGTTGAAAATATGAGTTTGTTGTTTACTTGCTCTATTACATCTTGGTTGGTTTGTCACAGCTCCCTGTAGACCCACAAAACAAGGCTGCCTGATAGTACCAATGGAAATCAGACAGCTTTCTGTGTTTGTGTGAATGTACAGTGGACATATTATGTCATTTTGTCAAAACTGTTAGTCAGAGAGGTCCAGTTTGATTCGGACTTGCCGTTTAAATAAAAAAACATTTTCCCTAACTTCTTTTGACTCATCCTGTCTGAAATGGGCTTTTTCTTTCAAAAACAGTCAGCATTATGTGTGCAGTTCTTAAAAACACCTGCCAAAAACGGAACTCCAGTCAGTAAACTCATTTTCTCCTTCTCCAGATGAAGTCAACAGAGGTGGACCAAGGGCTTTTCACAGACAGCTACTGCAAAGTGTGCAGCGCTCAGCTCATTTCCGAGTCCCAGCGGGTCGCCCATTATGAGGTGAGAGTCACATGACCCTGATATACGATACTACTCTATTGGAGCTAATGACAAGATTTGTGCTGTTTAGGCACTGCCCCCAGAGACACTTGGAAAATCTATCCACCTGAGCCCTGCAGCTCCACACTGACATACACCTGAGTTCACCCAGTTGTTTGTTCTTTCATTTAGCCTCAGTTGAATGCAAACCTAGAAATACAGATATAACCAAAAGAGAAACTGAACTTTGAGATTTTCCACAGCTCATACTTTAAGGGGTATTCATCCACACTACCTAACATTTTAACCCCAAGAGATCATTGCTGAATTCAAACTTTGACAGCACAGTTGCAGTAAACAAGAAAAGCCATTACTGAAAAGCTACAAAGCATTTTAAAGTTACAAATAAGTCTCTAATCTCTCATTTTGTATTTAAGTATTGCAAAGTGATACAACTAACTACTGCAAAATAAATTTAGGACTGGTGTTAGATTGGTAATCAAAGCCAAGTATTGTATCCAAATAAATCCCCCAAATTTTCCCTTCATTAACCTTACTGTTCACAAACTGAATTGCCCTTTGTTTCTAATGGTTAATATAGTTCCTGACATGGAAGCCCACTAATTAATGATATTCTATCAATAGGATTATTGAATAATCTCAGTAAAGCCCTATTATTTTGATATTTTGGTGGCTAGCTTTGGAGCTGGCTAGTAACTACCAAAATAGAGAGATGGACTAAAGAAACCACAAAATTTGTCTGCAGTATGCCAAATACCATCTCACGTCCACTTTAATGTTCTTGCAAGTGAGTTTTAAGGAGTTTCTGACAAAATAAAAAAAAATATAGTAAATCTATGTAAACACATCTGTACCTGTCCTTTAACCCGACGCGCTGAAACTGGCGATGCCCCAATCAGTCAACTCAAGGTCAAATTGAGGAAGGCAGCCAGTTGGTTTCCTCCTGCCTGAGCATCATCAGGTAGTGGACCTCTATCTCTCTGCAGATGCCACCGCTCACTCACTGTCAAACTGAGTTTCAAGACCAGTGAGTCTGATGGCTAGCCTGCTGCTACAGGACATCTGCAGTAACAGGAGTTGAAGGGACTCATATGAACACTACCATCCAGGCAATATTATCAAAGACTGGCCAGCTGACTTTCATTCTTTGAGAGGCTGAAAGAAAACAGTTTGAGACCTTGAGTCAATTAAGCATGTTATTGATTTCCTGTTGTTGTGCATCAGTTTGCTGAGGTAAAATCTCAACAACGAAAACGAAATGGTTTTTTTACATTTTTCTGACAGTGTTACTTTGTCCTAACTTTGCCTCGTCCTAAGCTTGCTTTCCTTGACTTTGAGTCAACTTTTCTTTTGCAACTCTTAACTCAGACTCTGTTTCCTGCAGGGCATAGTGCTCGCTGTGCTGCTGCTGCGGAGTGCTATTTAAAGTAGCCCTAACTGCCTATGGGAAACAGGAGAACTATTGTGTTCTTCAGGCTGTTGCAGGAGACAGAAAGTGGCTGTACCAATCCGAATCAAATATTAATTTTGTTATTGTGTGGTGAATGCAGAATACAGCACTTGGCCTGTTGCCTCCTGGAGATGGAGTGTATTTGGCTTCTATTTTAGCACAGTTAGGGTCTAATGCATGGTGACGTGTTTGGGTCATGTTGACGACAGTAAGAAAAAAGGGAAGTGCCACAACAAAGTAAACTTTTGAATCGAGATGGCAGTTTTGCATTTGAAAAGGTGAAGTGTTTGCATTTTTGTTTTTGTCGATTTGATTCCAGCAGTGCTGCATTTGAAGATTTACAGTTGCTGTATATCAGACTGTAGAGCTTCAAATCTTCTAACTTGCATCTGAAACTCATGACCTCTTTCATTAAAAATATGAACATATGTATAAATCATAATAATGGTCATTAATAATGAAAAAGTGCATTTGCCAAAGAAAGAAGGAAGCCAGAAGATTTTACGTCTATGCTTCAGGTGAAGCGCTGGGCCAGTTGTGTATCTGTAGTTGAAAACTCCTTTTGACGGGGGATGCACACCAATTTTTTTAAGCTTTTTGCAACAGATAATATGTTATTGTTATTGCCATTTCACATTTTTGGCCTTAAGGGTCTGACTTCATCACCCCTTGGAGATTCCCCCCACTCAAGGAATCTCCAAGGGAGACAGGCAAAAATGATTTCCTCCCTTGGCCTCAAGCCCTACAGGTGGATTTTGAGGTGAAAGTAGGTCCTAAGGCATATTGTTCTAGATGTACTGGCAACACCACCAGTGTCAGGAAGTGTGGGGTGAGCTTTCAGGCAAATGTCATGGTTTTCCTCCGCAACTGTATAAGGTATAGTGGGAAGAGTGTGCAGACTTCAAGTTCGACTCTGCAAAAACAAGAGAGATCAGAGGCAATAGGAGACACACATGTAAAGGGCTTTCAGGGTAGGAATAAATAATGAAATAACTAACTGAAAAAGAATTCATAGTTAAAACTTCCTGGACCATAGTAGGGACTTTTTTATCAAATGGAGAACTTTTTCTGTATCCCCCCTTCAGATGAAATCTTTTTGACAGACTGGTCACCTAACTCACTCAAATATGATGATCTGTGATCGAGTCAGTGTTACTTTGAATTTTTAAACTCCAAAGTTAAATCAGTCTTTGGGGTGACAGTAGACATGTAATTGATCTTTAAACCTCCTTTTCAAATACATCAAAGCAAGAGCTCCCCTGCAGAGTGGATCAGAGTGGCCTTTGGTTCTCAGTTCAAAGATATGAGTGTGGCGCATGTTAATTTATGCATCTGTCTCGTTGCATGTTTTCTGATTTGGGCGTGTACTACAGCCCTTCTTGACAAGCTGCCCTCTTGCAAGCAGTGCAAGAGAACCTCTTTTAAACTAGATGCCTATTACGTTTTAATGTATTTTCCCTAGCAGTGTTGAGTAACTGCTCTTGAAGAAATATAACACAGCTCGTTAAATGTCTGATTGTTCAACGTGTCTTTCACTTACTGAGTCAACAGCAGTTTATTAGTACTTGCTTGAGTGTGGCATGTTTTAGGGGTGATCTAAGGCACTGTTTTATGGCATCACACGGATGAGAAGCAAAAAAAGGCCCATCAGGTGCTAAAAATGAACCTTAGACTCAAACATTAGAACAGGCTTTTCCCCGCAGCACGCCGTGTAATAAATACTCACAAAGAAAACGGCGGCCGTTACAACTTATGTCTAAAAATGTATCGTTTCATGCATCTGTTAAAACACTCGACTCCAGGTACGCGACGCCCAGCTGGAAACACTTCAGCCAAGTCGAGCTGCCTGAGATTCACAGAATTTACAGAAAATGTTAAATTTTTGTGATTTATATCGTTATCGGGACGATAGATGTCTTATATTGGGATATGAGATTTTGGTCATATCGCACAGCCCTACTTCAGAGAGACCTTAAAGTCAAGCTCAGATAGAGTTCTGACAGATCAGCTGAATGCTTACCTAATAGCTTTCTTCACATCCAACTGCCAAATCTCATATTGATGTGTTATATAAGCTGCATCAGCCTGTCCACAGTTGGCGCTCATCTGCAAGTCGCTTTGCAACCCACCTCCACACCAGTTTCTCTCTTTTTTTAGAATGTAGTTAAGTCTTATATAATATATTCTCTTTTAACAAATTAAATCTAAGCAGCAGTCTGTTAGTCTGTTATTTGAGATGTGGCAATGCATAGCTTCCATTGTGCCATACCTTAATGACAGGACCTGTTATGGACATCAGACTGCTACATAATGACCTCATAGTTGTGGTCAGTTATTACTTAATATAGTCTGAAACAGGTGTACATTTCTGCCTTGCTTAAGTTCTTTTGTGTTATCAGAACATGGCCTTTGTTTAAAAATTAATTAATCATAACATTAATTAACATGAGGATAATATATACGGATTATATACATGATAGCATCTAGGACTGGGTGATATATTGAGTTTTTAAATATATCAATATATTTTTATACGAAATAAGAGATGTGACAATATCGTTTATATCGATATAGTCTATGTTACGTTATAATTATACTTGTGGAACCACAAGTTTGCCTCTCTTTCGTCCACTTTTGTCTCTACGCTGCGTTACTCTGCCTTGCCTCTCTCCTTCACTGAACACAACTCCCCCTCCCCCATCGCTTCACCTGCAGTTAACGACAAGATGGACACGGTAGCTATCAAAGAGGAGCTGGTCGGTAAAAAGAAAACATTTAGAGATTACTATTTTAGTGCTGCAGCATTACTCTCGTTAAAATGACGTTAAC